ATTATTAGATAAAGGTACCAACCCTCCTAAAATCAGTAAAGTAAGCTTACTATCCTCAAAGGAGGGGCCTCGCGCATTGAGAGGTTGCTGTGTTCCTCAGTGTGTCAAACCTTACTTCTGCATCTATTAAATGGATATAATTATCTCATGAGTTCGAAGGGGATCAAATGAATGTAAATGATCTCCTTAGTACACTGTTGATACATGGGTACACATTCAGAAAACAGAACAGCTTATTTCCTTTAAGCACACGTTGCATGATTATTTTGTCTGCATGTAAAAGTCATGTAACTTTTACTACAGTAAAGTGATGGTGTCTGACATGTACATGTATTTATGACACAGGCCCTGTCGGACCAGGACCCGCTGTTCTTCCACCTGCCGGCTTGCCTACAGGATGCTATGTTCCCCAGCAGCCCAGCAGCCTCTTGTACCATCCCACAGGTGGTATCCATGCTATCCAGTACCAGCCTGGCAAATATCCTGTGAGCAATCAGTCTGCTCCAGTGATGTGGATGCCAGGGCTAACTCCTATGCCCAGCTGCCCTCCTGGTCTGGAGTATGCATCCTATCCAGTACCAGCCTGGCAAATATCCTGTGAGCAATCCAGTGACGTGGATGCCAGGGCTAACTCCTATGCCCAGCTGCCCTCCTGGTCTGGAGTATTTAGCTCAGGTACTCCAGCAAATCCAAAGTATTTTCCTATGAAATGTGACCTTGAGGTCTGAGAAGAGGAGGCAAGATGGTGGGAGGTATGAAAGGGAGATGAGTCATGGATGACAGGAGCTGAGAGCTGAGACTCGGGGTGGGAATGTACTACAGACAGGACACAGTGAGTACAAGGATATGGGAGGTATGAAAGGGAGATGAGTCATGGATGACAGGAGCTGAGAGCCGAGACTCGGGGTGGGAATGTACTACAGACAGGACACAGTGAGTACAAGGATACAGTAGGATGGATAAGTTCTTCCTAAAGAATGAAGTTGACTTTCAAAGTATTGAATACGGGCTTCCGAGGAAATTAGAGAAATAGGAATGGGCGTGGCCAGCCTGGATGCTGTGCTGTTTGCTTGGAAGTAGAGGGTTAACATCAAGAAAGAGTAAGAGAGTTCCAGGCCGTGGGGGTGAGGGTGGGGTGGGGGGTATTCCTGGGTACTGGGCCTATTGCGTCTCTTTGCCATCTGGGACTCTCTCTAAACCCTGCCCACCCCGTGCACACAAATCTATAGGTATAAGATTGCTGCAGGCCACCTTCCACAGTACCCTTCCTATAGCACAGTGAGTTCTGGAGCCAAAATAACTGGTGTGGTATTCAAAGTTTGCATATAAATGATGTTTAAACCCGCAAAAGAAAATTTGTTGATGAAAGCAAGATAAAGCTAATGGTAGAAATGCCTTCTGAACTTCTAAATTTTGTTTTGTTCTTTTCAAAAAGGAGGTAAATACATTATTATCAAGGCTGTTCCCACTTCAGTGTGTCCCCAGGTAGTTAACCAAGCATTCCTGGAGCTGATGTGCGTCTGTTTTCAGTTCTTTATGTGGTAGGGACTTGTTAGCCCTGTATGTTGAAAATTAGAGGTGTTCTGTTTCATGGATGATTTAAGAAAGTCAATAAAGTTAAACCAGGAGCATTTGTATTTTACAGGAACCAATTTTTTAAATTAAAATTGTATGAGAAAAAATTTGACAAAATACAGAAAAGATACACATAGTGAAAGTGCTGCAGTACATCCTTGCATCACTAAAAGAGCTTTCAAGCCAGGCATGGTGGCACACACCTTTAATCCCAGCACTCAGGAGGCAGACGCAGGGGACTCTGTACATCAAGGCTAGCTTGGTCTCAGTGAGTTCCAGGCCAGCCAGGTCTACATAGTGAGACCCTGTCTCAATACACACACAAAAGTAAATAAAAGCCTTCAACCATACTTGATCAATGAAAAATGCATAAATTGTCTTTTCAAATCTGGACTCTTGTTGTTCAAGTCTTTAAAAGTTATATGACATTGTTGCTGTTACTTAAATATGAAGAAATCTCAATTTCTGCTTACCGAAGCAAAGTAAATCAGCATACTTTATGAATTCTTTTTTCCCTTTCAAGAACTATTGGTTTTTTAAAAATAAAAACAAGGCTGGGCATGGTGGCACATGCCTTTAATCCCAGCACTCGGGAGGCAGAGGCAGAGGAGGCAGATCTCTGTGAGTTCAAGACCAGCCTGGTCTACATAGTGAGTTCCAGGACAGCTGGGACTACAGGGAGACCCTGTCTCAAAAAGACCACAAAAAAATAAAAGAAAAGAAAAAAAAAAGCAAATTAAATAGGTTCAGAGCTAAACCGACCTGGTCTTTATATGGTGTCTATGCCTTACTTTCAATAACTAACTTCCCTAACTTTGGTCCTTCAATGTCATTATCCATAAAGTAGCTCTTGGCACACAGGACAAGTCCCACTGACGCTGACTGTGAATACTATGTTGCGCACTCTTGTGAGAGCCAGCCATTTTCCTGCAGGGTATTTTCAGAGCTCACGTGATGTGTAGATCAGGTGATGCTGGGTCAAGGCTCCCAAGTGCCCTTAACCATCCACAGCAATGTTATAACATTTCCAGAATATTAGCTTTGCCACTGACTCCACCAGTTTGTCAAAAACCAAGCATGTCACTGAAAAAAGCACTGCAACAGCAGAAATTGGAATATTCCCCTGCAGGAGACACTATACCACAGTGAATATCTTTTTTATTTCTATATTTTAATGTCTTGATATTTCACAATGGGGACTGTAAATTATGATAATAGCTATTTTTTGATATCTAGTATGACACCCCCTCCCCAATTGTGTCAGTATTTGACAAGTTTTAAATTAAGCACGAATTGTGACCTTTTCTGTCTTCCTGTGGCTGATCACACCACCTAACACCCATGAGCAGCTATTCTTAATCTTATTACTACACTTTTATATAGTTTTCATTATTTAATGAAAATTTGGTGAAACAGCATTTCAGGATTCTGGGCTCAGAGATTAGGAATGGCTGAGTGATCTAAATGGGTTGAAACTACATCGATAATGATCAATCTCCCCTGGAGGAGAATACTGCTTTTCTGGAATGTTCTGAAGTGTAACATGAGTCCATGCATACACACAGCTTCCTGAGAGGTCATCACTGTACCAAGCAGACACTTTCTTGATATCTCAGTCAGCTCTTTGTTTTTTTAAAGTGAAACCACAAGAAATTATTTTTCTTATTTTGACACTTCAGCTAATATCAGATGCAGACAAGATAATTTCAGTTGATTAAAGTTTTGGATTCCATTCAGTTTTCAGAGAGGTTATATTGACATTAACTGGTATATTTTAATACCTGTATCATCACTTTCTTTTCTAGTGCTAATTAGATTTAGTTCTGGCTTTCTCTCTTCTAATTGCTTTGTTCTGTCTCCACAGTTGGACAACATACATGTTCTTCAGCATTTTGAGCCTCTGGAATGTATGTATAATTTTGTTCCGGTCAGCAGTATTTTAATCAGATGGAAGTGTGCATTATCTAACACCTAGTCTCTTCTTTTATGTTGATGAGCTTTCAGTGATTCAGAGAGAGAAAGCTAGTCTCTAGTACCATCTTCAAACCAGCAGCAAAACTAATTATTTTATAGAACTTTGTCAGATACCCTTAGACCTAAAAATGACTTACATCTTATCTGTCAGCTCCCCTTAACACTTGCCCATTCTTTCTCCACATTTATCTCTCCTAGATGAATACAAGATGGAACCAAAAGGTGGAAAAAAATTAGCCAGGGCCCCACAGCCTGCTAATTGGTCAGCATCAGGGAGAGAGAGAAAAATATCCTGTCTGCTGAGTTCAGTTTGTGGCCCCTGGATGCCAGCAGAAATGATCACAATCAGATGATGCTGCTCCTGATTCCCTGGGGCATTACTGGTGCTCCCTGTAGGAGCTCTGCAGACACTGGCCACCACACTGGACCTTTGACTTTTCTTGGATTTATTTTCTTATTTGCAGGTGACAATGTCCCTAGTCATTTCAGCAACTTCATGAGCTGATTAATTTGTGGTCCAATGTGTGATTTTATTACAATGGTTTTATTATTAAAGTTTTCTGAATTCTGATACTCTGGGAATGTGATGCTAATCTTTGCTTTTATGTGGGAAAGTTTTAAAAATAATTTTATATTAAACTGGGTGAGGGAGAGTAGATCTTCTTTAAGGGAGTGACTCTAGATAGGCTGACTAGACTCCAGTGGATGAACTTGCACTAAGGGACATCTGGGTACAAATCTTGACTGGAAAGAACTTAACATATATGACAGAATGCATGAAATCCGGTGTGTGTGGTGGTCTATTGGGAGGTACAGATGGGAGAAGAGGATCTAAATTCGATTAAGATTTATTATATGAAATGCACAAAAATTCAAAATAATTTTTAAAAATAATAATTTCATATTAAACTTACAAGTATTTTAAATTTTAAAAGCTAGTTAATACTCATGGGGCATGGATATAATTTAGCGTTCTAATCCCTTATGACTATTTCACCTTAAAATTTTTAAAAACTATTTAGCTTTCAGTCCTTAAAAATATTAAACTGGACTTATTTCTTACGTGGTGGCGCACTCCTGTAGTCCCAGCACTCTGGAGGCAGAGGCAGGCGGATCTCTGTGAGTTCAAGGCCAGCCTGGTCTATATAGTGAGTTCCAGGGCAGCTGGGGCAACAGGGAGACCCTGCTTAAAAAAGAAAAGAAAAGAAAAGAAAAAAAACCCAACAACAAGGAGTTCTTGAGGCCAATTTCACCTGATTCTAATTTAAGATTATTTTCTTGTTTTAACTTATAGTGATGACAAATTTTGAAACTAATAATAGATATGATATCAAAAACAACGTAGACCAGATGGTTTACATGGTGACTGAAGACACAGACGACTTTACCAGGAATGCCTATCGGAACCTACGCCCCTTCGTGCTGCGGGTCACTGACTGCCTGGGCCGAGAGATCATGACCATGCAGAGACCTTTCCGGTGCACCTGCTGTTGCTTTTGCTGCTCTTGTGCCAGACAAGAGGTCAGAGACCAGGAGGGAATCCACCAGCTTCCTGATCTGCCCTTTACAGTGTGGTCTCCTTCCTAAAGTACAAGAGAGGGAATTTGCCTGGCCCTGCCAATCAGAACAAAGAAAAGGCAGGGAGGTGGGGAGGGAGCTGAATTATGTCCTTATTAGGAGTTCACAGTTTTCCTTCATCTCCTCAAGTGCTAGTTGATGGGTCAAGTACAATGTGAGGCTGTTTGGGCAACTGCTGTGTCTGCCACATTAGGAACTTACAGGAATGGGCAGTAGCCACACACTTATGTAAAGAGACCTGCATGTTCCAGGCTATTCCAAGAATTGGGAAGGACTTTTCATTCCTTACAGTACCCATCACAGCCTACACCTTTATGCAAATAAAGGAGTTTTAAAATATAGATGCCAGCCTGGGGTGCCCAGGCTGACAGGAAAGCTGGACCTAGAGTGCAGATGTGCTGAGTTGTGGTTTGATCCCTCTCCCATGACCTACACAGGCCAAGGAAAAAATTGCTATTGGGAAAAGAAAAGCAATTTTAGAAGGCTATCAACCAGAGTTTGAACTCTAGGTATGGTATCCACTTAGTCAATTCTGGGCAATTTACTGAAGATCTTAAGTCATTTAATCCTTGATAGCTATTTTGAAGGCGTAAGATGGAGTCTCAAAATAGGTTTAATTTGTAGTTTCCTGATGACTAAGGCTGTTGAATAATTTTTCAAATATTTATTTTCCATTTCTGTACTTTTTTTAAAGCTGTCTGTTCAGTTCATTGGCCCATTTATTGATTGGAAGATTCAATTTTTTTGGTGTTTAATTTTTTTTTTTTTGGTCTTTTTGAGACAGGGTCTCTCTGTAGCCCCAGCTGTCCTGGAACTCACTATGTAGACCAGGTTGGCCTTGAACTCACAGAGATCAGCCTGCCTCTGCCTCCTGAGTGCTGGACGCCCAGCTGGTGTTTAATTTTTAAAGGTCAGGATGTAGTCTAAATATTACATCATGATGTATTCTAAATATTCCTGTCTGAAATGGAGCTGGCAAAGATCCTTTTCCATTCTGAATGCTGTATTTTCACTCTGGTTATTGTTGCCTTTGCTGTACAGAAGCATCTTATGTCCATGTAATCCCATTTGCCAGTTCTTGAGACCATTTCTGGTGCAATTACTGGAATCCTTTTCAGAATGTTCTTGCCTGTGCCTGCAGCTTAAAGGTTTTCCCTCTGTTTTCTTCTGACTGTTCAAGCTTTTTGGGTTCTGTATCAGGACCTTTGATCCATACTGAGCTGATTATTTTACAGGGTGAGATATGGATCTATATTCATTCTCTGCATGTGGATATAGTTTCCTCAATACCATTTGATAAAGAAGTCTTTTTTCCCCAGTGTATATATGTTTCTGTGCCAGTAACATGGATGTTTGAAACTGTGCTTCTGTAGTGTGATTTGAGATAACAGCAACACTGTTGTTTCTGCTTAGGATTGCACTGGCTATTCGGAGTCTCTTTGTTTACAAATGCATTTCATGATTTTTTTCCCAGTCCTATGAAGAATGCAGTTAGAATTTGATGAGGACTGCCTTGAAAACTATAGATCACTTTGAGTGATGTAGCCATTTTCACACTGTTAATTCTGCTAATCCATGAGCAAGACTCCCAATGTCCAGCATGTTGTTCAGCTTTCTTCTTTAGTGTCTTGAAACTTTCATTGTAACCCTTTACCTACTTAAGTTTATTCCAAGATATTTTTTTGAAGCTATTGTGAATGAGATTTTTTTTTCTGATTTCTTTCTTGACAAATTTGTCATTGCTACGTTAAAAAGTGGTTGATTTTTGCTATGTTGATTTTCTATCTTGGTACTTTGCTCAAAGTGTTTATCACGTTGGAGCTCTGATTGAGTCCTTAGGGTCTCCATATATAAAAACATGTCATCTGCAAATAAGGACACTCTGACTTCGTCCATTCTGTCTTCCTTTTATTTCTTTCACTTGCCGTATTACTGTAGCTAAGACCTGAGTACTGTACTGAGTATGCATGGAGAGAGGGGCCACCTTTGTGTGTTCCAAATTCTAGAGGAAAAGCTTGAGGCTCTTTTGCACTTAGTATAGTGTCGGCTCTGGGTTTGCCACATGTGGCCTCTATTCTGTTGAGATTTGCTCCTTCTAGTTCTGGTTTCCTCACAGCTTCTACATGAAGGGACTTTGAACTTTGTCGAATGCCCTTTTTGTATCTATTGAGCTGTTCTGTCCTTAACTCTATTTATATGTTGTATTGTTATTATTGATTTCTGTATGTGGAACCAATCTTAGATTTCTGGGACTCAAACAAATTGGTCATAAAGCATGATCTTCTTGGTGTGTTTTTTTGGGGTTTTTTTTTTTTTTTTTTTTTTTTTTTTTGGTCTTTTAAGACAGGGTCTTCCCGTAGCCCCAGCTGTCCTGGAACTCCCTATGTAGACCAGGCTGGCCTTGAACTCAAAGACATCTGCCTGCCTCTGCCTCCTGAGTGCTGGGATTAAAGGCGTGCATCACCATGCCCAGCCTTGATGTGTTCTTGAGTCAAGTTTCCAATATTTTATTGAGATTTTTTTCATCTATGTTGTCCAGGAAAATTAGTCTGCAGTTTTCTTTTTTGTTGTGTCCTTATTTGATTTTGGTATCAGGGTAACACTACCTTCATTGAATGCATTTCATAGTCTTCTTCCCCTTCCAATTTTCAAAATAATTTAAGACATATTGGCATTAGCTCCTCCTTAAAAATTTAGGAGAATTCATCAGTGAATCCATTCAGTCCTGTGTATATTATACACTCTGTTGCAGTTGAGAGCGAGACATTGTCACATAATTTTTATTATAAGATATAGTATTGTAATGGTTCTATAGTTGATGATTATAGTTAATGATTCACTTTGGCTAATAGGTAAATTAAGCTCTATTATAGGTGTGTGTATTGTAAAAATGCAGTATGCTTTGAGTTCGGTACTATCTGCACTCTAGGCATCCCTGTTGTCTAGGAACGTACTCCTATCAGTGAAGGTGTGCACTTTCATACGATTTTCCAAACCTTTCTCTCTCCTTTCTTTTTTATAATTGCCATGTATAAGGTTTAGTTTTTCTGATTAAGATTTAATAATTTAAAGGGATGCACGTCATGGGCTTTTACAGAAGATGTAAGAATGCCAGGTGACCCAGAGGATGTTGCTATGACACAGCAAGCAACATGGGCACCAGTACGTTTAGCTGAGTTCCCTTGTGTTCAGGTTTTCATCTCAGGGTTGCCTGGAAGAGGCTGTATATCCTTCTGGAAGATGCTGTTCATCCAGTTAGGAACAGTAAGCTTGGACAACTGGCATCTTCTATCAAGCAGTCAAGCCGAAATTAAGCCTGTTCTTTGCCCCAAAGTGAAATGTGACATCATCCCTTTATTTAGTTTGCTGAAATACAACCCTACAAATGATTCAGGCAAATGAGTATTTTCCTCCCAACATTAACTTCCTTTGAAACACCAGAGCATGCCCTGTGTGTGCGTGTGTGTGTGTGTGTGTGTGTGTGTGTACACTCAGGTATGCACATGCATGCATGTATGCACACGCAGCCTAACCTCTGTCACGGCTTCATCTGCAGCTGGAAGTGCAATGTCCTCCTGGCATCACGATCGGCTTTGTCTCAGAACATTGGAATCTGTGCAGAGCCGTTTACAGCATCCAAAATGAAAAGAAAGAAAAGGTGATGGGAGTGCGTGGTCCCTGTGCAACCTACGGCTGTGGTTCAGACTCTGTTTTTGAGGTACAGATCTGTAAAAATATCATTCCACTTTTTCTTAACAGACCTCAAGTTCTCTGGTCTTGCCAACTTTCCATGTGACTGAGTAGATGAGTGACTTGACATCAGACACCTTTCACATTATTCCTAGTGCTTGCTCAATGATTTCCAAATGTGAGCTTCTTTGCCTTTTTCATAAACATTTTTTTTTGTTTAGAACATGAAAATTTTTTAGAGTAAATATCCTGATCTAATTAGTTTATTCTTGGTTTAAGTAATCTTTTTTTTCCTAAAGACTTCCAGAATGGGTATATAGAGTTTAAATGCAAAAGTCTGACAAATCACAGCGCTTGAACATTCCTAAAGTTATAGATAAAACTCATGATAGGCTTATACTATAACACTTTCTCAAGAAAGATCATTTTGTTTTGCCTACATCTCAATGGACTGCCAAAGAAAGTTAGAAATACTCCCTAGAGTGCTTTCTCCAAACCTTGTAGTCGAGTGCAGTTTGTCACCCACTAAAACTGACCCTTTATTTCCTACAATGCCCAAGAACTTTTCCTTAGTTTTTATTTGATAGTACCATACAATGTATTGGTCATTTATTAAAATTATTGTAGAAAATTTTAGTAAACCAGATTTCAGGGCAGGCTGTGTGTGATCTTCCCATGGATGGGTAACATTAGAAGTTAGAGAGAGGATATTTTCAGTGTGGCAGGTGCCAGGGTCCCTCTTTCAAAAGCAGAAGCCCTTTGGGATCCCGAGGTTTGCTAAGCCAGGGTGGATTTGGCCCACAGGGTCTTGAGTGGTGTTCAGTGTCTAATGCAGGCCCCTTAGTTTTGCCCAGAGGTTCCCTTGGTGACTTCCTATTCCCCAAATCCCACCCTCTGTTACAGAGAATTTAATTCTCAACCAAACCATACCTCCTCCAACGAAAGTCCCCAAAGGATGCATCTGAGGGTGAGGACAAGGCAGTAGGTAGGTAGGCTCAGAATTTGCAGACATATCCCAGCACAGTCATTACCAGTTTCAGGACACTTAGGCCTTCTCAGATTCCTCATATGAGTTAAGCAGTTACAATGCTTTCTCCTGCATTATATGTTATATCACAAGCTGCTTCTAAGAAAACGACCGAAGCATGTTCTTTCATGTGTTTCAGTCATCATAAAGTCACATTCTTGGCTTTGCAGGTTAACTCTCTGGATGGTGTATCCCACATTGGAAGCATCATCAGGAAGTGGAACGGCTTTTTATCAACCATGGGAAATGCTGACCACTTTGAGATTCGCTTCCCATTGGACCTGGATGTGAAGATGAAAGCCATGGTTTTTGGAGCTTGCTTCCTCATTGTAAGCCATTTGCTTTGGGGCTGAGAGAATTCTTGGTTTGATGAGAACCATTATTCCATAGTAGAAAATTTATTTTGAAACCTGGCCAACTTCTGTCTTTGCCACTTCTAGGCATATGTTTTGCAGAGTGCTTAGCACTGGAGACTCAGTTTACTCATTTGTAACAGGAAACAAAATAATGTTTGCAGGGTATGGATCTCAGCTGTCGTGAGAGTAAAGTATCTAGGAGAGTACTTGGAAGGTCTGAGAGGTTCCGTGATGCAGCTGGTGCCATTTCCTGTTAGCTGTCATTCACACTACTTCAAAACATCCAGCCTATGATTGTTAGGAAAATCAAGTAACGGCCGGCAGGTGTCCTTTCCCTCCTTCATGTTCCCTGCGAGCGTTCTTGCATTTTAGATTGTCCTCGGCTCCTACTGAGTTTTCTGTTCTGTTGGTGATAAAAGATCAATTGGTACTGAATATGGAAAAGTTTTGTGTTCTTGATTTTTTAATTGCTTCTCTTTACGTAAAAGTCCTTTTTGTAAGTTTTCATTAAATTTATTTTTATTGGAATAGTATAGTCTCCCAATAAAATATAAAAGATATTACATGCATTCATATAATCGTTTCTGTCTGTTATCTATCTAAATATAATTCCTTTTCCAATTTCAGGACTTCATGTACTTTGAAAGGGCTCCTTCACAGCGACCCTCATCAATATGAAGGAACCTGGCAAGGCACCCACTGGAAACAAAAGGAGAGAGATGTGCGCTGGGCTGACAGCCAGCCCTCAGTCGTTCACACATGTATTTCTCAGCTTGTGCATTGTTTTTCCTGGGTGCTCGCTCTGAGAGCCGACTGAGGGCATATGTTCCAGAACACAATCAGAATACTCATTGTGTCCCAACTGAGTATCCTCTACTTGGTGGAGTGGGAGTTTATTCTGACAGCTCTCCCCATTAACCAAGTAAACATATACAATATCGACTTTAAAACAACAGGAAGATGCGAGAAGGGAAAATGAAACCCTGGGTTTGCACATCAGTCGGTAGTGAGATAATGGCGCCAGGAAAGAGGCATGCTGCTCATCGTCTTTAGGGCCAAAAAGGTAGACGGAAATAATGCGCTTTATTGCACATAGAGAATTTTACTTGTACACATGTATCAGACCTCATTCTGCAAAGTTCATAAAGGTCACAACATTCTCAGTGAGAAATTTCATTTTATTACAAAATAATACATGTCTTCTCTTTATAATGCAGCTGATACTTCCCATGCCTATACCTTTATTCTCCTGGTTGGACAAATTGGAGCTGCCTGTATATGATGGCAGGATGAGACCAGGAAAAGAGCTGATCAGGGGCACAGCCAAGAAGATCTCAACATCCTGGGGCACTGGTGCCTGAGTTCAAATCTTGAGTTTAGCATGTTTGCAAATAATAGACTTGCACATTGAATGCACGCCCCCACCCGGGGCTTGGTCACACATGCCTTACAGATAACATGTTCGTACAAATGCCTAAGATTACCAGTTGTACCTTTTTACAGATACTTTTTCTCTCAAGATCACAGTAATGACCAGTATGTTCTAATGACAAGAAATGGAGCTGTGTTTTTCATGTCTGATATGTACTGTTTTCTATAGCTGTATATAAAAGCAAAAGCTATACATCCTGGCACTGGTTAATACTGATTACTGCTTTTTACCTAAATGTTAAACACATCTTTACACAAAGCACAAGAGAATACAGAAAACTTTACTTCTGCACTTTCTACCTAGTGTAAATGGGGACTCTGAAGGAACAACAGAGTTAAAGTCCAAATGCACTTGTTTGTATTAAGAACTGTGTATATATGACAAATCCTTGGCTTCCTGCCTACATATGACTATGTTCTTTCATAGGTCTATTATTTTGCAGCTTATCAAATGAAGACTGAGTGCTTCTAGATGGGATTATTTTGAGATTTTTCTCAGAACAGCCCACAGCTCTTTTTGAAAGACAGGTGCTTCTTTCTTAGCTGTATTAATCTTTTTATGGTAAAGATTGTTTCACTCAGTTATTTGTAATACTCATTTTACTTCCTGTTGTTAGCTTGTTAAAAAATGTTTCCTTCTAAAAATAATTGCCTTATATTTTAAAATGCAATTATAACCTTAAATAGGCAAATGTATTTTCTGTAATGATATATTTACCTACAAATCAGATAAACACTATTCAGAAAGTTCATGTATGATGTCACTTTTACCCACCCACATCTTGTATTCCAGGACCTGCATTGCTCTAATAGTTCAGGACCAGACATTCTACGTTTCTATTCAAAGTGTTTGTGGTGTTAGCATTTCTCTAGCAGAAAAAAATTCTTTCTTTTAAAAACCGTATGCCATTTTTATATAATCCACATAATTTCTGTAATTCTTGATGTAATTTCATTGTCTCAACCAGCTTCAATAAAAAATAAGCAGAACCTGTTTTCCAAAGTTTGAGCATTTTCATGTTTGCTGGTGCTGTTTGACTTTTAAATAAATGTGCAATATAGTTAAGAGTAAAGTGCACTGTGACATAGCCTTTGAAAGATTTTCAGAGATTTTTTTGAAGTAATTCTTAGTAATTACTAAGCTCTTTGCTCTCTCATATAGATGTACTAATGCATTAATTTCTGAGGTATTATACATTGGCAACTAACGCTCTATTTTAAATAGTTTATTTATTTTTATTTTACATGCATGAGCATATTATCTCGCATGTAAGTGCATCCGTGTCATGCAATGCCATTGAAGATCAGAAGGCATGGGTTCCTCTAGCCACTGTCCTAGTTTGTTTCTCTATTGCTGTGGCAAAACACTCTGACCAATAGCAACTTGGGGAGGAAAGGGTTTATTCAGCTTACATATCCCAGGTCACAGTTCATCTGGGAGCCCAAGGTAGGAACTCGGGGCAGGAACCTGGAGGCAGGAGCTGGAGCACAGGCATTGGAGGAACACTGCTTAGTGACTTGCTCCCCTGGTCCCTGCTCAGCCTGCTTTCTTATGCAACACAGGCCCACCTTCCCAGGGGTGGCACCACCCACAGTGGGCTGGGCCCCCCCACATCACTCAACAATCAAGAAGGTGCCCCATGGACATGGGCTGATGAAGGCAATTCCCCAATGGAGGCTCCCTCAACCCAGGTGTGTCAAGTTGACACTAAAGCTACCCAGCACAGCCACCATGTGGGTGCCGGAATTTGAACCCGTGTTTTCTGCAAGAACAGTCAGTGCTCTTAACCTCTGAGTCATCTCTCCAGTTTGGCAACATTCTTATGTCACCAAGCTTTTCATATGATAATATACTTACTGAAAATGTATTTAAATATCAAGTTCAATGTCATTACATTGTAGAGGAAGGCTGTTACAATGTGTGACTATCAGTGAAAGACAATATTTAAATCATTTTTAAATTTTACAGACACTGTTTAAAATAATGCGCTGTAGGCTTAGTAGCTGGATTTCTCAACAGCTAGACGCTCAGCTGAAATAGCGTAAGCAGTGAGCCTGGGTGTGCGCGCTGCCCCCGCTGCAGCAGCTCGCCACTTTTCCGGCTTCTGCTCCTGCAGCGTTCAAGGTCTAACATATACTGAAGATGTCAGCTTAGAAAATCCACAGACTGGGATTTTAAAAAATGGTATCAAATCTATCTTTTTGCTTAGTAGAACTAATGTTCAAAATGGATCTTTTCAGCTAACTTTACATGCATTTCGCATGAGCCTCTAGGTGCATTTTCAATTGTAAGTCTTAGAAAAGAAAGTAAAGTGATGCACGCATTCATTCAGGGGAGGTGAGGGAGGGAACGCTGCAGGCAGCAGAGCTAAGGGGAACGTGCACCTGATCTTCCCTCAGAGCTAACGGAACGTGCACCTGATCTTCCCTCACACAGAACTAACGGAACGTGCACCTGATCTTCCCTCAGAGCTAACGGAACGTGCACCTGATCTTCCCTCAGAGCTAAGGGGAACGTGCACCTGATCTTCCCTCAGGAGCTACGAAATAAAGACAAATTAGTGAAATATTACAGAAGTCAGTAAAAATTCTGGGCATTCTTTCCACTAGTATTTCATCAACAATCACTTTATGAAGAACCTCCTAAATCAGACATTGAACTGACAGTCTCTGCGAGACAAAGGGAAATATATACCGATCTCTAGGGCTTATGAGCAAGGCAGAGACTTGTAGCCCATGTCTCTGATGACTGAAGTGGACACTTAACCCTTTGAGGTGTTGGTGCACTTACAACAGCCCACATCGCAGACACGGGCCAGGTGTTGTACTGTCACAAACAGACAAGGCTGGCTCATTGGGATATTTGCCAGAGATACTTCTGGCACTACTGGAGGCAAAATAAATTTTGTGTCTGTGTCTGTAAGCAAACTTCATAGTGATGCAATTTTAAAAGTCAGTGTGGAAAATTTCAGGAGGCAAATTAGAAACTGGTTGTTTATTATAGTAACACATGAACCCCATGCAGGGTCTAATGCGTTTAATGTAGTTAATGAATGTTGAATGAAAGAACCAAAGTGCATATGTGTTATGACACTGTGCTAGGTATTCAAGGAGGCATGATTGAAAAAGGGGTCTTTTCTCTCTTAGCAAGGACGAAGCAGTCAATATACTTCTTCAGCATAAAGGTATTTATTGAAACAAATACACATTCTTGTTTGAAAATGTACCTACTGAAGGGGTACTCCAGTTGCCTCACCCTGCATCCCTGTTCAGCATGGAAGAAGCCAGAGCTGTCTTTGTCTCTATTCCCTATTGGCAATTTGGGTAACCCCTTCAGAGGATGGCGTGATAAGAAAAATGCAAATCAAAACTATTTTAAGATTTTATCTTACCCCAGTCAGAATGGCTAAGACCAAGAAAACAAATGACACCAAATGCTAGTGATGATGTGGAGAAAGGGGAATCGTCATTGACTGCTGGCAGAATTGCAAACTGGTGTAACCACTGCTGAAATCAGTATAGAGAACTCTTAAAAAACTAAAAACGTTAGAGTACCCGAATGCCTCAGCGGTTAAGAGGACTGACTACTCTTGCAGAGGACCCGGGTTCGAGTCCCAGCACCCACATGGTGGCTAATGAACTGTCCTTAACTCCAGTTCCAGGGAAATCTGAAGCTCTCGTCTCACCTCCACAGCATTGCATGACACAGGTGCACTCACATACATACACATAAAATAAAAATAATAAAGTATTAAATTAATGAAAGAAGAAAAAAGTAAAAGAAAAAAGTGATGGGAAGATATGGAGGTTGTTAGGGAAAGAGGAATTTACTGCTTGTTTGAACATACTGCTTGTCTGAATTTACTGCTTGAATTTGCTTCTTTAAATTTACTGCTTGTAACCAATTAACTCAACTGGAGACACAGGCATCCGGAGATAGAGGCAAAGTGCTACAACCCCCGGAGCCTGACCTGTTCTGTGTCATGTCATGTCTGCTTACACAAGATAACAAGAAAGAGTCGTACCAGGCACATACCAATCATCTCTCCCCAATTGAGATACCTGAAGGGAGCTGTAACATTTTTCTTGTTTTAAAGTTATTGGTTTGTGAAATGCTTGCTTTGAAACTATTGGCTGTATAAACGCGGGCTTTTGTGTAACGGTTGTGGAAGCCTATATAATCTTTACCTAAAATTGCCTCAGGGTCGATTGCTCTAACCAAACCTGCGTGTCTTGGAAGGACGGTCGGCCCCAGCTAGCTGGTTTAATAAAACTCTGGGATTTGATCAAAACACCTTATATGCAATATGAAATTCTCAATAAAGTTTTTGTAAAAGTTAAAAAAAAATGTATATTACTGGGTTTGCATGGCCAGATTAAGAGGCAACATCATTCCCAAGTAGAGTAAACCTCAGGGAGAAGTGAGAGTCACAAGGAGATAGGTGCAGAGCAGTGTCTCCCATGCTGTGGTGATAATGAAGGGTTGGAGAAAAGACGAGCAGCACATGAGCTCCGAGAGGCAGTGCCAAGCAGTTTGTGTGCAGTTAATAAAGAGCCTGTAGAGCTGCCAGGTTGAGGGTTCGAGCTAGAAATCGGGGGCGATCTGTTGTCCTCGCCCACGTGAGTAGACTGCAGGTGAACTTTATGTTGTAACGGCTGGCAAGGTACCCCGAGGGGTGACGCTAATGTGTCTACAGTGACACTAAACAGAACCAGCGTGAACACCAAATCCTAAAGCCATGGCATATAATTACATAGCTTAATGATTTCTATTACACTTTCCTGCAGTTCCTCTGCCAAGATTTAACTCCAGCCCAGATGGAAATGCTTCTGTGCAAATATGGGGAAAATCGGCTGAATTGTGAGTTAGGTGGGATACAGAGATGATGACGATTATGGTGGTCCTGATAATGCCCAGAGCATCTGCTCCTTCCTAGTGCTCCATATGAGCCATGCCCTGCACGGTACTGCATGAAGTAACCCTCGTCATCCTTTCAGCAGGCCTGTGTGATAGGCACGATGACACTTTTCACTGCAGACATGAGGAAACCCAGTTGGGAACTGTACACAAGTTCACTCAGGTCTCCATCTGCCCGATCCTGGTTCCAGAGGTTACACCCTAACCACTGTGCCGTATTATTCTTTGGCCTCAGGTGATATCTGCTTAATTTACATGTTAATGGCATACTGGAAACCAGGAACAATAGAGTGGTGGTGTGTTGTGATTTGAAATTCAGGAGCATGGCTGAGGCAGGAAGGAGGTCTTGTCCAAGGTGTGCTCTCTTCAGAGAGCTTGTTCCTACTCCTTCTAGTACCCTGATATTACCAAGTGACACGTTTCTTT